TTCCCTACAAAGGGACGGCGGGAGAGGTGCGCTTTTGGGTTGGAAATTTCCTGCCGATCGGCTGCTGGAAAACAAAAGGATTTTGCGGAGCAGAAACCAGCGGGCGGGGATTTAATGCCCCCCCTCCATTTTTTCTAAACGAAACCACCCCAATTTAAGGCAAAATTCTGCCGATATCTTTGCTGTTTTGCGTATTTCGTTTTTTAACAAATGCGAGAACAGACGCCATCGGGATTATTTCTTTTTTTAAGAAGGGGAAAACCTAATTTTTCGTGATTTCGTTAGCGGGGTGAACCGGCCTCACCTTCCTGTCTCTGGGCAGCGGGGAGCGGGCTCGCTCCGCCGCCGGCCCGGTGCCGGCTGTCGCGGTTCCTGGGCCGGGAGCGCGGCCGGTAACCGGCCCCTTGAGGACTTTAATTTGCCCCTTTAGGAATTAAATTTTCCAGCCGGACGTGGGAGAAACGCCGCCGCCGCTTCGTGCGAGCCCATCGGGAGAAAAACAACCCCGTGTCCGGCCCCGTCTGTGATTTCCTCCCGGGAAGACCGGGCTTGCAATGTGTCCAAAAAACCGCCCAATTCTCCCCAAATATAGGGCTCTTTTTTTTTTCACGCCTTTTTTTTCTCTGTTTATTTTTTTTTTCCACGCCAGGCCATGGCCGTCGCTCGTTGTGGCCCCGTGTGCGAGGCGGCGGCTCCCGGCGGCGGCGGCGGGGGGGGACCCGGGGGTGGCCGCTGTCCCCTATCACAGGGGCCTCCCCGGGGTGCTGTCCCCTCCTTCCCTCTCCCCTGCACCTTTCTCCCTCCACTGATCTCTGGCAATCCGGACCCACGAGATCCACCCTCTCCTTTTTTTTTTTTTTTTTCTCCCCCCCTTCTCTTCCTCCCAGGATTTAGCAGTTTTATCCCGATGCGGGTGTCCTTCCTCTCTGTAAAGTCGTAAGTACCTTGAGGTGGGAGGAGTAGATTCAGCCTGACACTGAGAGCGCTTTTGTTGAAACAGGAGAGACTTGCGGTGTCCCTACTTAAATATGACACATGTGAGTAATCTCTTCCTATACAATATCGGAATAGGCAATTAGATTTTTCTTTCTAGAGGGCTGGCGGGAAGGGGCCCGGAGGGAAAGCAGAGAACTTGTGCTTTAGGTTGGGTGGTTGTAGTATTTTTTATTTTATTTTCCAGCGAGATATATGGCCAAAAAAAAAATTGGTTTGGTTTTTTTTTTGTTTGTTTTTTTGATTTTCCTCGCGACTCAGCCTATCAGAAACGAAATAAAAAATTTCCCGAGGCAAAGGAGCAAGAAAGATGGGTGGCAGCTCTCTCCTCCGTGAAGCTCCTTATTTATATAGAAAAGAATAATCAATCAACTAGAAAAAATAAAAAACGAACGAGGGTATATGTAGGAGATAAAGCATAGAAATAATCGCGATATCGCTGTCTTCCCTCGGCGCGAGGTGCCTTGTCGTGACAGCATTTGTTCTGAGGGAGAAGGGGGACAATGCTGTGTGCCGGGCCCCTTCCTCCTTCCTGCGGTAGCGAATGCGCGGGGGGACTGACTCCGTTAGGGGCTGCTTTAACCCCCTCTCCCCCAAAAAGTGGTTTCAGGTATATTTCGATAGTTTATAAATAACAATAAAAAATAATCATGGGAGGAGAAGGGGCCGCCCGTGAGGCTCAGGCCGCTCCAGGCAGGCCGGGCCGCGACTGGGCCGGTTCCGCAGGGCAGCAAACACCGCCGGGGAGCCCAGAAAGGGGAGAAATTCCCGCAGAGGAATTTGGAATTTGGGGGCACAGTTTAACCCGCACCCTCGGCGGTGCTGCGGGCTCTGCCCGGGCTCCCCGGCGGCCCCGATGGTGCCCATGTGAATCCCCGCGGGGCTCCGGGGGCTCCGGCCCGGCCCCACCGAGCGGGACCGGGCCGCTGCGAGACGTCAAAGCTCCGCCAGCCTCCGTGACGTCACGGCAGGGCCGGGGCGCCCCGTGACGTCACGGCACCGCACGGCCCGGCGGGGTGGACCCACAGACCTCCCCCCGGTACCGCCAGCAAACTCTACATTATTTGGGGGGATCGGGAACTCCCCCGTTTCTCACCGACCAGGTGTGAGCCCCGAAGCGGCCCCCCCGTCGGGGCGGTGCCCGTGGCGGGGTAAAGCCCCCGGCGGGTCCCGGTGCGGGACCGGCCCTGAGCGCTGCCTCTCTCCGCAGGACGATGGACAGGCCGCCCGCCCCGCCGCCCCCCAGTGACCCCCGCGATGCCCGCCCCGCCCGGCGGCACGACTCGGAAGCGGAGACCACGAGCGAGCCGGAGAGCAGCCGCGGGGGCATGGAGGCGCCGGCGGACCCCCAGCTGCTGCTCAACGGGGCGGCCAAGGAGGCGGGCCGGCCCTCCCCCGGGCCCCCCGCCGCCCCTGTGCCCGTCATCGAGCTGGTGCGCCGGGGGGGCTCCCTGGACATAAAAAGCCGTGAGGCGGCGGGGGACGCGATGCAGAGAGCGCCGGGAGCCGAGCCGTGCCGCGCCGCCGAGGCCGCCTGCGAGGCCCGCATGGTGCAGCTGAGCCCCCCCGCGCTCCCGCTGCAGCCCCCCGGCAGGGCCATGCTCTACAACCTGGGCCAGCCGCTGGCCACCATCAACAGGTCCGTGCCTCCCCTGTCCCGTCCCATTCCGGAGCAGCTCCCCCAGGGGTGTCCCGGGCCGTGGCGGGGCGGCGGGAGGTGCGGGCCGGAGATGCGGGGGCAGAAGCAGCAGCATCCCTTCCTCTGCCCGGGGCTCGCCCTCGCGGGTTAGCGCGCAACTTTGTAAAGAGAGAAAGGGAAAAAGGGGAGGGGGGAGTCAAAGAATAAACGAAAAACTCTTTCCTCGAAGGAGAAATTTTTGCAGTGGTAAAGTCCTGGGCAGAGAGAAGGGGTCCGTCAATAAACGGGCGAGGACCGGTTTAGCTCTTCCGCGCTCCCCGGGCTCTCTCTGTTCTCCGACGAGTCCCGCAAATTAGCCAAGGGCCACCAGAGGCTCTGACAGGGGCTGAGCCAGCCCGGGGCGTGTGCGGGGACAGACCCCCGCCTCCCAGAAAAAAGCTGCGGCGGGGACCCGGCCCGGGGGTCCTGCGTGCCCGCCTGGGGTGGGGGAGCACAAAGCCGAGGGAATGGGGGAGATTTTGCCCTAAGCCGCTCACATCCCCCTGCCCGCGCAGGGCTGGCGTCTCTCGCTGCGTGCCCCCGGTTGGCCGCGTGTGGTGTCACCGCACGACTCCGGGCTCGGCTGCGTGAGCCGCGGGCTCGCTCCGAGGTCACGGAGCGGCTCCGCTTCCCTCCGGCCCCTGACACAGCCTCCCGTCAGGGGCCGGGCCGGGGGGATGTCGGTGTGTCCTCACGGCCTGCCTGCCTTTCTTTGCAGCGGGTTTTTCGGCGAACCGGACTCTTTCTCCATGTACGGCAGCAACCGAGTGAAGCGGAGACCCTCTCCGTACGAGATGGAGATCACCGACGGTGAGAGAATTTCGCCCCTGCGCCGCCTCTTGGGGGAGGGGGGATGTCTCCGTCTACCTAAGGGGGCAAGTTCCTGCACGATGCCAGACTCTGGGACTAAATCCCCAAATAATAAAAGGACTAAACCCCCAAACCGTAAAACGAGAATAGGATGGCCAGGGAGTCAGAGTGGCTCCGGTAAGCGGAGCCCACAGCGGTGCCCAGCAGCGTGCTCGGTGAGTTTGCCTTCACCCAGCACCCAGCGATGCAGCTCAGCCCTCGGTTAGTTACATCCCTATTCTGCAAATTGCTTAGATATTAAATCCGAAAGAGGACAATAAATGTAAGTCTTTGTTGAAGTGCAGATCAGGGCCATTGCAGTGAGATGCTGCGTCTGTAAACCCTTTCAGCCAGGAGGAGTTCGCCCTGCAGACCGCAGCCTTGGGCAGAAAGGATAACCTGTCTTAAATCTCCTGAATGCGAAGAGCTAACCCTGTGCCGAGGTCTGCAGCGGCGCGTGGCTGGTCCCTTAATTCAGTATACATCCACACACCCGTCCCGTCTGCCGTGAAATACCCCGTGGCAGAGCCGGGGAGGAGATGTGGAAGGTGGGATTCCGTTGTTCGAGCAGAGATCCCAGGTGGCATCTCTGTTGGAGCCGCAGGGTGATTTCGGAGAACGGAAGGCGGGGAGAGGGCAGGGCAGGATCTGCTGCCGGCTCCTGACAGCAGGTTTGAGGTGTGAGATGCTGCGTGCAAAGGGATATTTGCCCACGGGATGCTGCCCACGCAAAGGGACATTTGCAAGAACAATTTGCACGTGGCAGGCCGTTCTGTTTATCTCTGGAGTTAATAGCCCGTACAAATGAGATTCACTGAAATTTGTTTTCTCTTTAGCGATTGTAAACGCTGCATTTCAATTGCTGGACTACTAATTTTCTGCCTTTCCAGCTAGCTGTCCCTTTCCTTCTACCTAGCTGATCTAAAATCAAATCATCACCTTCATCAGACCAAAATAATGCATCCCAAACTGACAGGCTCAGGGTGTTATCTGCATTAACCAGTCCTTCTCTCCCCACTCTCTGCCCTCCTGGTCTTTTCACACTGCTGCCCCATGGGACAGGGGAGGTTACAGCCCCGGCACAAGAAGAGCTTTTTGTCTGGGTTTTGATTCTGAGGCTTAGCAGTTACAGAGAAAATCAGATCTTGGTGTCTGACTAAAGCTTTGGAATTGCTATTAAATTAGGTATTAAGTATTACAGAAATACTTGGTTGTAACCACGTTTTTGAAGATGTAGTTTGATGCAGGTGTACAGATAGGGCCCAATCCTGCAGGTTCTGGTTCATGTGAATTTCCAAGATTCGACTCAACGTTTTCTGAGGGGAAAAAGGGTACCAGATTATGTTGTCTAAACAGGAATAATTTGTAGGGAGGTACATTCCATGCTGAGGCATCTGTGTGGTCTGAGGGGCTTTGCTTATTGCTCTGATGGGCATCTGCTGGGTGGCATCCACAGCACACAGGAGCATCACTCTGGAGGGTCCTCAGCCCTTGGGGGCTGCAGAAGGGCAGGAAAGCCTTGCCAGACACTTTTGTGCTTGTGCTTTTTTCTGTGAGAGAATAAGTGGTGGGGTTTTCACAAGTAGTTATTTATTTGTTTTATTGAGATTCTGTTCCATTTAATATCTTCTTTAAGAATAGCTAGAAGTGATGATAAAAAAAAGTATCTCTAGAAAAGTATATCCTGGAACTTTGGAAGATCATATTTTTATTAATTTTCCTCACATTTCTAATTACAATTTAAGAAAGCATCAGTCAATCCATTATAACAAAATCCAGGCAAAAATTCTCATCTAATTGCTTGAATTAATTATGAAGCAAGTTTTTTTTTATGAGAAATAGATTTTCTATTATAACACAGCTATGGGGCATTTTAATTTCCTCCACTGCTTGACATGTTTTGACCAAAGCCTGATCTCTTTCTAAAATATATGTTTAATTCAGTTAGTGCAGGAATCAAGAATTTGAGTGGTGTCAGAATTTGTTTTATTTACTGAAGCTTGATTTGGGTGCCCCTGGAGGAAAATTTACAGGTTTTTGGTTTGGTTTTTTTTTTTTCTGGTTTCTGACCAATTTATGAAAAGATGCCTTTTAGTCATCAACTTTCACTGAACAGAAACACATGTTTGAAAGTCTCTTGAGGATTTCTTTTTAATGAGTAGTATCCAAGATGGGGTTACTTCCCATACCCTTATGGGACTAAAGAGCTTTTAAGCTCCATCTCTCTCTGGATTCAAGACCAGTTGCTTTGTCTTGTCTGGAAATGGCCAAGTGTTTAAAATGTCACATTATTTTAGTAGGATGTAGCACGTTCTTCACTGCTTGGTTAGCAGTGCTGCTGGGGGCCCTTGGTCCCTGTCACCTTCCCCACAATCCTGTGGCATAGCAGGCTGCACACATCAGGGACAAGGAACCTTCCCTTTGCATGAGCTCTTGCACATCAATTCATACAAAGGGCATTAGGTGCTGTTTGGGGGTGAATATTGCCTTTATTAAAGCATCACATTGGAATCTTAGAGGTCAGGGAGGTGTTTGTCATTTCTACATCCCTTAGCTTGTCCCAGGGGCTGTTTGTGATTTTAGGGGACTCCCAGCTCTGAGCACAGTTTGAGGAGGAGTGAGTTGTGTGGCTGCTCACACACTGGAGAAGCTGGCAGCTTTAATCTGTCTGCTTGGGAGTGTGTCCCCATGCAAACTCTGCAGTGCAGGGTGTTGTGTGTGGTGTGCTGGACTGAAGGGACTCTGCTTCCCCTGAAGAGAGGAAAGTGCGGTGGTCTCTGATCAGCTGGAACAAGGGATTCCACTTCTGGTGTGCAAGGTGGGATTTGCTGAGGTGCAGCCTGACTAGGATGCTTATAAAAAGTCACACCTGTTTGGCTTCTGTGCCACAGTCAAGGCAGCCAGCAGTTTTGCTAGAAAAGAGTAAAGGTGTTTAAATGTGTCCTGGGGTGCTGGTTCCACTGGGAGATGTCAGAACTGTGGCTTAAACTGCTCACCAAGGCCAGGGACTTGTTCCCACCAGGAGGGAGAAGTTAGGCAGGGGTCTCAGAGTGGGGAATACAGGGGAGAGATGGGGAGAATGGGAATTCCACAGTCCTTTGAGGCAAATATCACCAGTGTGTCACCTGCAAGTCTTTGCTTCCCACTCTGTGATGGCTTTCATCATATGTGATGCTTCCTATCCCATGGGAGTTTCTGCCCCAGTCATTCCTCCAGATTTTCATGAGATTGATGTGACTTTCCATTGTTGATGTCTCTTGAAGGAGATGATGGGAAGAATATAATAATAGAAGCATCTTATGGTAGTGTTCTCTCCTGTTCCATGTACCCAAGGACCTGCAATCCTGATTTACAGCACTGCTGCTCCTGCAGAACAGTACTTTGCAGATGTGCTTTTGGGTCTCTTCTAGCACAAAGACAAAGCTTTTCTCATGTACACCAGGAGTTGTCCTGATGTGCTGAAAGGAGAATTGGTGTGATTTGTGCCTTCATCCTATGTAGCATCCCCTCTCAGAAACATGGCTGTAAAAGTCCAAGATGGAATTGGAGGTTACTTGTCATTAGGTCAAATGGACACCTCTATCAATTTGGAGTCCCTTCTCCAATTAGTGTCAGAGGGAGTTTTTGCCCTGTGGCAGTGATGAGGAGAGAGAGCAGGCAGCCCTCAGGTCAGCTGTGACACTGTTCCATCCTCACCTGTGATCACCCTTCCAGCAGGACACTGCCTTCACTCTGTGGGTCAGTGTGGGTCAATTCCTACCTCTCCTCATCCCCTTTCATTCAGAGGGCTGGTGGCAATCCTGTTGTCTCTCTCAGCAGGGAAGACCTCTGGATCTCAGAGCTGTCAAAGCCTCTGCTCAAGCTTATTTCCTCCTGTCCCAATGGTGTGTTCTTTAGACAATGTTTGGGATAGAAAATAGAGCCATCTAATGAGATAAACTTTTAATAGGACCATTGTCACTGAGTTACCCTTGTTGATGGGTTGAGATACCCTAAAATTATAGAAGCCTTCTGCACATGTATCATGGCCTAAGCCTTCTTCCTTGGAGAGGTAAATTTAGATAACTGAGGAGACAAAGAGATGCCACCCAATTTTTCCCTTCCACCGGATTGAACAGAAGTTACAGCTTTCTCAGATCATGGGGTCAGCTTCTACTAAGCTGGAAACTCTTGTTTCACTGCCTTGCTGATTAAACCTCACTAAAATTAACCAATTAGTTAATTTTCAAAGGGGTGACCTATTCAGCAAAGTAATACCTGACCTGTTAAGCCCAGCTCCTAATTCTGCGTGGTTGGAATTGCAGGTCCTCACACGAAAGTTGTTCGTCGCATTTTCACCAACAGCCGGGAGAGATGGAGACAGCAGAACGTCAACGGGGCCTTCGCAGAGCTGCGCAAGCTCATCCCCACCCACCCGCCCGACAAAAAACTGAGCAAGAACGAGATTTTGCGCCTGGCTATGAAATACATCAACTTCCTGGCCAAGCTGCTCAACGACCAGGAGGAAGAAGGAAACCAAAGGGGCAAAGTGAACAAAGACTCGGGGATAGTCCAGGAAGACCTCCTGCAGGACATGTTGTCCCCCAACTCCAGCTGTGGGAGTTCCCTGGACGGAGCGGCGAGCCCGGACAGCTTCACGGAAGAGCACGAGACGTTGGATTCGAAGCACACGCGGAGCCTGCACCACGCCATCCTCCCCGTAGAAGGCAACGCGCAGCGGTGATGACCCTCACGCTGCTCCCGAAGCGCCACGGGGGAGAGGCCAGGCTTGGCTGTGCAGTTGCTGGAACTTTTTGCTTGTGGGATTTGTGACTCTGCCTTTCCCTGGGAGCTCGGGCTGCCCACTCGCCCCAGCCCGGGGAGGAGCGGCCGGCACGTTGGCTGAGGACGACACCAACCCAGATGAACGTTCGGGGTTTAGGTACGTGACCGTACAAAGAAGAAAAGCGTTGAAGTCATCTTCGTTGTACAGAACTGCTCGGGATGGGACTCTGAGGAGGGGAAGGAGACAGGGCTGGCACCTCTCCAGCATTTAGAGGGTTTTCAGACCACTCGGTGAGCGTCTCTTTTCAAACAGTCATCTGGGTGAGGCATGGAACTCCTCTTTCACTGCCCACGGAGGCCACCAGTGCTTTCCAGCTCCACGTGGTGCTGGAAACTGCTGCATCACGCCAGTGCTGCAGCACTTCTGCAGCCTGTGGCACATCCAGCTGGTCTGAGCAGGAGCCTGGCCACGTATTCCTGTTGTCCGAGAGCTTTTGACTGTATCTTTTTAAAGAGGTGAAAAAAAAAATACCCTCAGCAAAAGAACCATTAAAAGGATTTAGACGATTTCTTTTTCTCTCCTTTTTTCTTTCTTTATTTTTTTCCTTCCCTTTCTTCCTTTCTCTTCTATCTAATTTCAGATTGTTTGGGCTTGTTGTATTTATGACATGGGATTACTTCTGTTTAACACTGTCATGCAGTATCCACTGAATGAAAAGGTACATAGGTGTTTTCTGCCACCCTCCCAGTCCCTGATCCTTCTGCTGGTAACACTCAGCAGGTGAATTTAAAGCCTGCTGTGGTCTCCTAGAGTTTTTCCAGTAGTTTCTGTGGGGCCAGAGCTTCCCTCAAGAAAGATGAGTTTCAGAGTTGGTAAGGGAAGAAAATACTTGCTAGTGAAGTAACTCTTTGGACTGGGGGATTTTTAAATTCAAAAAAGCAAAAAAAAAGGGCAAAAGGAGTCAATGATGTATCAACAATGTGCGTGTACATAGGGTTATAAAAAGGTTTTTTGATGATATGCTTTGAATTTTTTGATTTTGTTGTGTGAAAATGGCGGTTCACCTGTGCCACTGCCCACAGTGTGGACAATAGTGCTGGATTTATTCTGGTGTTAGAAATATCCTCACCTGTCGAGGCTGGTGGGAGCCCACAGCTTCTCTGAATCTTGTGGGGAAGCAGTAAAATCAGTGGTGGGGTTAGCCTCCATTCCCGAGTGCTCAAACTGCTGCAAAACTGAGCTCTGTGAGTGAGCTGATCCTCTGATCCTGCTGCCCCCCAGGAGGGCGTTTGGGAAACAGGAGAGGGGAGCAGGAGGCCGCTGCTGTGGTGGGAGCTGAGAACCACCCTGTGCCATCACTGCTGCTTCAGGCCCACCTCTCACCAACCCATCTCCCGAGGCCTGATGGAGCAGTTGCCCCAAACCCATCCTCTCCCTCTGCAGACATGTCAAGGCACAGAAATCCCTACCATGATACGGTAGAACAAAAACCCCAAACCCACACACAAACATCCTTTGGAAGACAGTAAGTCTTTCTGAGTGGGGGCATCTTCCACCGCGCTCGTGCCTTCCCAAGGATGCTGAGGTACAAGGGAACACAGAGAATTTGAGTGGGTGTCTGCAAGCCCGTCCAGGCTTCATTCAGAGCCCTGTCATTTCCATCCCTGCTTGGTTTTGATGCCTCTTTGTAAATAATAGGTGAGAGTCTGGCATGTGGCTTGGCATGTCAGGCAGAATTAGTTGCCTGGGAAGGGATCCTGGCCCATGCAAGGATTTCCAGCATAGCCCCCAAATTTTTGGAAAGCACCAATCTCCCCCATCTTAGACTGGGGGAAAGGATGAAATTTCTTGGGTCTGTATTTCCTGTGCATGGGGGTTTTCACCAGAGGGGAAACCAGGTTTCACCTGGGCCAGGGCAGGTGCTGGCGGGTGAGGAAGCTGAGGAAGAGGTTTGGACTGGTACTGGTGCCAGGGGTAGGAAAGGCAAGCAGGGGGGGCTGCCAGGGGACCCTCAGGGGGGTAAGGGGGTGCTGTCACACAGGTAAAGCCGTTCCTGGTTCCCAAATAACCCTGGGGTGGGGTAGGTGGGGGTTTTACACCCTTGTTGTTGAACTGTCGCAAGAAAAAAAATAAATAGTTCACTGATACTCAGAAATGCCTCATTCCACACAAACCCATTAGTCCTTGTTTGTATCTCCTCGGTAGCTGAACAGTTGGGAAAATGGTACAACCTTGTCAGCACCCCCAAATGCCCCCAGGCACACGGGCTCCTGCAGGGAGCTCCGCAGGTCCCCCGGGGTATGTACAGCTGTACTTTAATTGTGATTTGAATGGTACATTTCCTCTGCCCACCTCTCCTCCTGCCTGCTTCATCTCTCGCTGTGTGGACCATCATCCCCATTCCTGTTGGAAACAGCGCTCTGGGGCAATGTCGTACCGTGTGAGTGAATTCCTGCCTTACCAATTTTGGTTTTTTCAGCCCCATCCCTTTCTCTGCCACCCTCCCCTTGGATTTCTGCATTTTTTCTGCAGAAATGAAGTAACCAGACCTGGTACCCTGAGTCTCAACTCACTGTGGATGTGCTATTTAGAAAACACATTTGTTGTAATGTGTGTGTATATATAAATATATATATATAATGAATATATCAAGAATATTTCTAAATAAAGTTTTACAAAGCAGCCTCCACTCGCTGTCTGCCTCTGTCCCACCTCACCACTTGACTCCATCATCAGTTTGGTGTTTGTGCCGTGGGGTGAAGACTCCAGCGTGGCCCATTCCCAGCCAGCCAAAGACATAAACGAGCAGCAAAAAACGTTGCAAAAGCATCTGCTAATCTGTTTTTTTTTTTCTCCTTGCTTGACTCACACGGTCCAGCCGGGGCGGGAGGAAGAGCGTGCGGGGCCGGCAGGAAGGAAGGCAGGCGATGAAGCAATGCCCCACTGCAGGCGAGCGTTACCAGCCGCCCCCACCTTACCCCAGCGTGCCACTTGCAGGTCCCCCAAAGGCTCCAGTGGCCTTTTCCCTTCTTTTGGCCAGGCTGACTGTGCAAGGAAGGGGCTGCTGGGGGCCATGCACTTCCCTCTGCGCCATGGCAGGCATGATTTAACAGGCAGTGAGAGCAATTCCTCTTTTTTTTAGAAAGAAATTATCACAGCCACGTGCATAAGTGCTTTTAAAAATATACAGCACCAATTAGGGGGTGTTTATTCCTCTGGCTAAGCGGTCCATTAAATATGTGCGTGGTTTTAAATATGTATATTTATCTTATACATACATACATACATACATATATATATATATATATATATATATACAGCACCATGCTGCTGATGCTGACACCACACCGAGCACAGAGCAGATGACCAGGAATGGTGCCACAGGAATTTTCTTAGCTTTAGTTTCTATGAATTACAGAATTGTCGCCTATTTAAACAAATCCTTTAAAGCATTCCTTGCTTTATTAAAGTCTCCCCACAAAAGCTTAGCTGCTAACACCTCCTCCCCAGCAGCCTGGGAGCCAACACTCACTTTTAAGGTTTCTAGGTGAATTTTTCCCAAGATGGAAGAGGGGACCCTTTCTCAGGCTCCAGAGGGGGGGTGTGGGGAGTCCTGTCCAGACAGAGCCCCAGACGAGGGACATGGGGGTGTCCTCTGCACAGCCAGGCTGAGCAGAGCCCCAGCAGCCAGGACTGGGCTGGTTTCACCCCGAGCACTGGGACAAAGCAGGTGTGGGCAGTGTGTGGCTGCTGGGTGTTTATCTGCAGCTGGGACATCATGGCTGTACATCTGGTTTAACCCCCATCTCCCGTTGTGCTGCCAGCCCAGCAAGAGCTGATAGCTTGCCCACCGGTTATCTCTGCCTCCCACCTCCTGCCTCTCTCCCTCCCTCCTTCCATTGCCAGGACAATTCTCCTTTCACCTCCCCCTTCTGCTTTTTTGCTTTCTTCAAGTAAAATATCCTCGATGGCTGCAAGTATTTTGCAACCTGCAAAGGAAAAAACATCCTTAAGGGAAAAACACCTGCAAGGTGAAGGCTTCAAACAACTCTGTGTACATTTATAGGGTCTATAACCTAAGGAAAGGGCTGAGAGGCTTCCAGTGCCACCTGCTCCATGGTGGGATGTTCAATGTGCATCACTCCTGGTTGACCCCAGTGGTGGGGAGACCCTGGGTGCAGCTTTGCTGGGATGGGCTCCAGGGTTGTGTCCTCAGGTGGTGGCTTCATGTTGGAAAGAAATATCTTTCTCCCAGCATCTTTTTCTCCTGAGCATCTGGACCTTATTGCTGCTTGGCCACCAAAATGCAGATGTCACAGAAGGTAGCAGACATTCACCTGCCTTCATGTTTCTTTTTAAAAGTAATTTTTGAAAGCCCTTCCCATTCTTTCAATTTCCAATGGAAAATTTAATTAATTTCTCATCAAATGGTAATTTCTTTTTACAGTCATTTTGTGTTGCAAAAGGTGATATGCAATGCTCTGTGAATTCAAATATACGGGGCAAAAACCTCAACCCAACCCATTTTTTTTCTCTGTTCATGCAAAACAGAAAAGAAAGTTGGGGAAAGCACCCTGAGGTCCTGGCTCCCACAGCACAGAAGGGATTGGTGCAGCAGGGGAGAAACAGCCTGGGTGTCACGGGTGGCATTGTCCTCAGCTGGGACAGTGCTGGGGCTCATCCCTCACTGCTGGCACCGCAAGGTGATGGGGGTTCTGGTCTGTAGGACAGGAAATTTTCTGGCAAATAGAAGTTTCTTCACAAACTTGAAACAGATGCATTTAAAGGTGTTTTGTTCATCCAGTTTTGTAATGTGTCCCAGGAATTCAGCGACTTTCAGGCTTCCAGTGGCAGAAAATTTCACTTAAAACTGTATAGATGACACTGGGGAGTGAGAACAGTGGAGACTTGACATTGAGATAAAATCGAATTAAAAAACAGAGAGAAGGTGGGAGGATTGCATATATCCAAAATGATGAAACAAGAAACACAAACCCCCCAAATCACCCCAAATTTGGGCAGCTACTATTTTCCAGCCTCATTATCTGTTTTTAATTACAGCCTTTCTGGCAAAGCCGTGTTGAGGGCAGCCTGCAGTGGCAGCCCTGCCTGGGAACACCGCCGAAGCCAGGAGCAAGGACCTGCTTCATTAAGGGCATTCCCACATAATTGAATCAAATATTCTCGCGGAAACGACAGGACCCAAACGTTCCCACCCCGGCAGCCGATGAGAAAGCTTCTCCTCTTCGCTCTGGCAGGCGAGGTGACAACAGGAGGGAGTAATTTATGTCTCTCTGGGACTGCTCGGTCTGCCCCTCATCCCGGGGCTCATCCCTGACATTCCCACCGCCACACAAAGGCTGCAGCCGGCCGGCGGTGCCCAGGGGACACCGCGCTGTCACCCGCAGCCAGGAGATGAGCAGCGAGCAGGATCCTCTCCCTCCTCCCAGTCCTGTTTTTTCTCTCTGGTCCTCCTGCCTCTCACCTTATTTCTCACTCCCCATTTTTTTATTTTTTCTCTTAGTTTCTATCCCAAAATTGGGATGGGAGAGCAGGGCTAGGGGTGGATGGGAGAGGATGAGGATGCTTTGAGACCACAGGGGCCGCAGTCCTTGATGGGGATGCAGGAAACCTCCTGGGGGTGGGTCCAACAGGCACTTTCAAACTTGTCCCCCTGGTAGACATTCCTTTTCCCCTGCTCTTGGAGCTATTTTCAGCCGTCCCAGTGACCTTTCCGGGGAACAATTTACTATTGTGTTTTGGTGAAGCCCAGCCTCTATTTTTGCACTCTGTTTTGCTGATGCGGGCACAGGGAGCGAGACGGGAATCCAGCAGGAAATGGGAGGGAGCGTCTGGAGCATGGTTAAAGCTGCCCCGGCGCTTTGATGTGCGAACCCGTCCGGCAGCACGTGGTGGGGCCGGGGGCTTCTCTCCCTGCCCATCCCTCTGGTAAATCCCACATGGCACCGGCTTAATCTGGCCCTGCCAAGGTGGCAGTGGGTCCTGCAGCAAAGGGCT